TCTCGGAATTTTTATAACAGAGACGCATATAGGTTCTCAAAGTTCACTGAAAGAAAACCCTTTAAGGTATAAGTCCGCCTGTATACATTTTTTGTTGTAATCCTTATATCTTATATTAAAAGTGAATGTACAAAAACAGGTAAATGAATAAACATGTGAAGATCTTAAAAAAGAATAGAACAAAACAATTATATTGTTACAATTTCGATATTAAGACAGTTCTTTTTTTATTATCTTAAAAGATAAATAAATGTGTTTATTGTTTGGCCTGGTTTAACATATAAATAAGACATTATTATCTATCTAATAAGGTGACTGGCAGATACATTTGAAACACAAAACCTCGTATTCTTCCGTTAGTCACTCAAACCCAGATATGAATCAATAGGTTAATAGTAATCTCGAAACATCGGTAACTTATAGGGCCATTGCTCTTGCAACTTGTCTCGAGAGTCCTGATGTCAAGGGGAAAAGGATTGTTAGCAATGGAGTTTGACAGCCTCATTGCTAGCAATATATCTTATTAGGTCGACCTCCACGTGGTTCCCCCTGAAAACCATCGTGAACAACTCTTGTTGAATTCGTCATGATGACCTACTTCATCCTCACCTATCATTCTTCACTGGTGCCTTGCCGGTGTATACCGATAGCCCGGGTGGGGTTACCATTTCATTATCATCCATTAAAAAAAAAAAAGAAAAAAAAAACAAAAAAGAAAAGTCCTGATGTCATTATAGTCTGATCATGAGAAAGGGTAATTACCATCAGACAGGCTGTATGTTTTAGCTAACATTGTAGTATAAAAAAGAAATCAAATTCCAGAAAGTGTCAGCTCTTATCCGTAAAACTCGTCATGGTTCGACATTGATCGACTAAAGAAAAACCGAATGTGTATTTTCGTTTGTATTTGATAACCGATATTGGGTTTGACTTTAATACAATATTCGAAAGTAATGATCAAATTTAATGTAGAATTTGTAAACTCATATTTTATAAATTCGTTGTAAAATACTTTTTAGGTATTTGATTATATTGTCAAAATTGAAATACAACACTCGAAGAGGTTACTTTGAATTTCTTTGTAACAAATGTGGACGTGATAAACAAGCGATGGTTCAATTTCTTAAGTCCGCCTACATTATCATTTCACGCTGACGAGGTATGAATGATTTTTAAATCCATTACTACAATTAAGAATAGTTAAATCAAAATACCGACCAAAAAATTTAAAATTAAGTTACTTAACAAATAAAAAATTGGAATTTATTTAAAGTTTATAAATAAAAGATTGCTTCCGCCTATGTTAAACAAAAAGGATGAATGAATACTTTAATTTAAATGTCAAATCTTAGTTCTTTTATCAAACTAGACATTATGTATCGTACAAAGAGTAATCTCGAACGAGTACATATCCTTACGAGTAAACCAGATTGTAGATACAAGTGAACGGGTAGTAAGTAATTTGTAGACAGGTTACACTGGCCATTTATATTTCCTTCTTATGACATTTACAAACAAATATTACAGGTTTTTATTATATATTCAATATTAGTTTATTTATGTTTAGTGTACTTCGTTATTGTAATATAATTGCTTGCTATTTTAATACATATACTATTATTATATTTATTTTGGAAGGTAGGATGACAAATTAGGAATCACAACTTATAAACTCTTGCAAAATAATTTAGAGGGATGTCTACACACTTTTTCGTTTGCACTGTCCCAACACACAATTATAGTTACTCTTCATGGAGAACAATATAATTATTAATACCGACTTCACTCATGTATTAATAATAAGGGCTCCTATTGATCCACAATTTATTTAGGCACCTCCAAAGTTAATACAAGAGTAAATCAATTAACTAGAATACAACAATAATAGAGTAAAATAGTTTCCAATAAAAAAAAAAACTAATTTTGTTTATTTATTACATGTTGGCGCTTAACGGTTCACACAATCGCCATTCAAATTTGTTACGTATATAATATTTGGGATAGAGAAGGACATAGGCTACTTATAATTCTGGTCACGTGAATGTAATCGCTGGCGCTACTGATCAGTTATAAAATCTCAAGATATATGACCGACCACTGTGTATGGCTTAGTGAATATTGTTTATATAGTAAAATACCGGTTGCACGTGTTACCAAGGCCGTAACGTGGCCTTTAAATGTATGTCCAGCCATATGTCACTAGTCTGAATAATCGCAATGAGTAAAAAAATCTATCAAAGACTGGAAAATACTGGCATTCGAAACATAAATATTTCTTCTTTAAAAGTTTCAAAGTAATATAATTTTTTTTTAAATAAATTTGTTTCAATGTATAAGTGAGTTGATCAATGCGTAAAATGCATACAACCTATCATGAAGGTCATTAATTAAAAAATTAAAATTGCACTTTGTTTTCTTAACGTAATTTAAAAATAATCTGCATAAATATAAATAACTAATATGTATTATGCAGTGTATAATTATCTAAAGTATGTATTTAATCACAGGCACAAATAATAATGATAGAGATATACTTATCTAGACAGCATAAATACTATATTTGTGTTATTACGATATAAATTACTGGAATATTCTAATTAGTGTTTTATTTTATAAAAATCATGATTTTGCACTTAAGGCCTTGCCAAGAAGATAATATATACAATGGTGAAACTGACGAAGGTGCCTACATAAAGCCTGGTTATAAACATATAAAATACGTTATCTACTTGTCAAATGGATGAAACAAAGTATTGTAGTGTTAAATAAGATGAAAATGCATTATATACATATTAAGGTATCTTATATTGAATTTACTAAACCTATGATTCCAAAATAATCGAAATAAGAAATAAAAAATTAAAATGATAAATAATGAAACAATTCACAAAACAAGAATAAGTCAAGTATTTAGGTATAACGAGATTATAGAAAAATGATGATCAAACATATTTTCTCATTCTGGCATAATATCTACAGTAAGTGATGCTCACTTCAACTTGATGCATCATTCCCAGCTAAAATAAACCTGTACAGGTCAAACCGACATACCAGGAAGAGGAAAGGGATTGTAAGCAATGGAGCTTAACATTCCAATTGTTAGCAATACACCCTATCAGGTCGACCTCCACGTGGTTCCCCCGGAAAACATCGTGAATAATTCTTATTGAATTCGTCACAATGGGCTAACTAACCTGCTTCATCCTCACATATCATCTCTCACTGGTACTCCGCTAGTGTATACCAATAGCGCAGGCGGGGTTACCATTTCGTTATCACCTATTAAAAAAAACCTACATACCAGGAGATGCGTAACTTTTAGGGAGTGACACGCTCTAGGATAAACAAAAGACCAATCGGCTAGCCGCAACGGACGGACCATAACCGACCGATAAGGGGGAAGGAACTGTTAGCGATTTGTAGTATTTGAGATCGCCGTGAAATCTTTTCGAATATTGTTACTTTAAAAGAGAGGACTTTAGTTTTTTCCCTTAGCTTACGCCATAATTGTTTTCTCATCCTCTTGTTTATTTTAGTTTAATCGTTTTCTGCTGACCGTTCCCTTGTGTTAATTATTACTTATTATAGGTTCTAGAATTATATGTTATTAAACAATAAAACCCTAGAATCTAGGGCATTACTGTTCAACAACGGGTGATTCTTCTTTACTTCGTTTGAATATTACTAGTCTTCTTTACCAAGTCTCTTAACTTCAATTATGGCATTTTTGTTTTTCATAAGATGTTGGGTGTTAATTTGAGCTCCAAACGGTTAACACTAGAGATGAAACACGTGGCATTAAACGTGCGCGAACTAAATGGCAATCAGAGATTGATGGCTAATATAGAAGGTTATGGAACTGCTATAAAATAAAAAAAATAAAAATCTAAGCAAATAACCAATTTTACTATTGAAGCATACCTATATTTTAATTTTGGACTACAAACCGAGATCTTTTATTTTCAGACAATGTTGTTATATTCATTCTTTTATTGAACCATATAAAGCTTTTTGTTAAATAACCTTCTCCTTAAACATTAATATTTGTTAGATTGCCGTATTCGACTTTTTATGGCATTGGTCTTAGTTCGTTTTCGGCCCTCTATTGTATGGTATATTAGTAACTATTTGTCTACCAGATGTAAATGCGAAACAATGAAGTGGCTACAACCACGCTAGATACTTACTTCATTGTTTCGCAGGTAAGTATTTTTTTTAGAAGTTGCATTTATTGCTCACAAAATTTCTAAGCATAAGCATTGAATTTTTTTCTGTATACCTGACATTACAATTGTTTGTGGGGTTTCTAACTGTTTTGGAACTGTTCGTTTTGAAATCCATTTTAGATAAAACTCTACTTTGGCGATTTTTAAATCGTCAACATTCAAATTTATAGGCATAAATGCTACAACTTGTAATGCGAATATTAAAGGCCATACATACGTACATAAGTTAGTGTTTGGCAATTGTAACGCTTTTTGTAAAAAAAAAAGATAGTTATCAGCACATTTTATAGAGTCGCAAAAGTAGTAAATAACACGTGATATTTGTATATATTGGCAGCAAGCATTTAACATAGAAAACCATAGATATTCATAAATTAGATTACTTGTACCCAAGAAAATAGTACTTTATAGTATTGTTGATTATAGTTAAGCATTTAACAATAACATTCATAAAAACCATAGGCGATGGTTGACTTTCCATCAGATGGGTCATCCATTTATTTGCTAATCTAAGAATCGTAATAAAGTAAGCAAATAGTAGAAATGAGACATTTCTATTATTAAACAACGAATTATGTAGAACTTTGTCTCTTTATGAAGAAAACAAAGCAAGATATTGGGCCTCGAAAAAAAAGGGGATGCACTGGGAACAAAAGGACACCAATTGTACTTGGAACCGCGCAAGCACGCATCCGTTCTCGGCCGCCGTTTAAATCAATCTCTCAAGCATCACTATACTTATATAAATTAAAAAATAAAAGATAAAGAACTTACCTTTTTAGGTGGTTGATTCTTCCTCAGCAACTTCTTGTGCTCATCAAGAAGAAGTCCTGTAGATTTATTTTCAATCACACTTAATTCACACACTTCTGCTATGTTTTGACTAGAGATTTCTTCACATATCCTCACAGCACAGTCCACTTCGTCAACTAATGTTTCGTCAACATACAAATTATTATCTGTTAGATCTCCAACAGATTTTGACATGGAATGTGACATTCTTAGCTCATCCAGATGATCACAGCCTGAATCACTCTCCTCAGATTCAGATTCAGTAACATCAGCATCAGAATCTTCAGTCTCATCTCCAAATACATCATTTGATGTATAACAGCTATCAGGAGATTCTTCAAAGAGGATAAAAGAATCCTCGGACTCACAATCAGATGGTCTCCAGTTATGCTTCCTCTGTGGACTATCAGTGAACACTACTTGGAATGAATCATCACTTTCTGCTCCTGAATTAGAATGGAAACGTCCAGTAATCTGAAATAAAAAAATAATAACATAATTATGAAGGACAGATTTATTTTGATAGTACAGCAGCCTTTATAAAAGTAAATGAGTGAATAGTGTAAATACAATAAAAGAATATTAGAATCACTTTTAGCCAGTCAAATAAATTATTTAATCTTTATCATTTTAATATATTCTAGAATATGGTTTTTTCATGGCATTATCATTAATTCCTCTAAAATAAGGTTATGCACACACTACAAACCTCATCAAAGTAATCTTCAGACTCAACTGAAGAACTCATGTTCTCTTTTTTGCAGATATTATGCAGAATTCTTGGAGAATTTTCTAAACTGGATACATCATCATTCTCATTGTCTTCATTAAACAATTTGTCTCGTATGGTTCTTGTTAATGCAGATTTCTTCCGTCTTTCCGTGGTCAGTCTATTTGAATTTTTATAATTCTTATCCTTTGATTTATTTGCAGATGGTTTAGGTGGTTTCTTCGGTTGTTCAGCAGATTGTACTGTAGCCGGTTCTATGTAAGAATCGGAAGAGTTTGACTTTAGCTCTGTGTCTTTCTTACATCCTTCTTGGAGCATTGCTTGCAGCTTTAAAATTTTCTCTTCACATGAAATGATAGTTTGTTGTTTATCTAACAAATCATTTTCTTTTGAAGGCAAGTTATTGTCTGTTGTTAATTCACTAATGTGTTCATCATTATTCAAATTACAATTCTTTTGCAATTCATTTTCTTTCAATTCACTCACAATCTCAGTATTCTCTTTAACAGGAGCAATTTCCACTCTCATTTTGGGTGCATCTACTTCTAGAAACTCTAAATGATGTACTTGTTTTGGAATTATGTATGATATACACTGAAGAGATGGATGGGAAATAAAATCTTCTGGAGCAAATGCATCTTCAAAATTGTCTTCTACTGAACTTGACTCAACAAACACTTTCTTCGGCCTTCTTGAACGGCATGTATTTGGTTTTTGGGTAATAGGAACAGACTTTGAACTTAACAAATGCCTTATATTGTTCAGTTTGTCTTCACAAGCCGCAACTGTGTTCTTACAGTCTTCATTCATGTCTAAACAGTCTTTGTAGCAAGTTTCATGAGCCCCAATATTTTTATTTTCAGTTTTGGATGATAGCCAAAAACTGGGCGAAGTTTCTTTATCAACTACGTCGTAGTACGGAACGGACTCCGCACGACCCATTAGCTTTTTGGAAATCGCGTTGTACATATTTGAGAATACACCCATAAACCATGTATTATACGATCTGTTTTGAATACTGACCGCGTTTTCGACGGTGGCGTCCGCCATTACCTTTAAGTCGTTTGTTTTGTTTTTCAATTCTGGAAATAACATGCTTTCGGTTTCGTCTTCTAACTCTGTCTGGGTATCAGTCGAATAAGCGGCGAGAGAGTAACCTTTTGAAATGTAGTTTAAATGATTAGGCTTCCACCAATCTGACACGGAAATATTCATTTTAAAACACTTTTCACTAGACATCCCGCTAAGTCTGTAGGAGGATGCTAAGCCATCTTAATTCACAAACACATTGTTTTAGAATTAATAAAATAACCACAAGGAAAAGAATTGTGAATAAATCTAAACCACATTTTTCGATTCAATATGATAGGTACACCAGAATTGTAGGGTAATTCTTTGTCCAAATGAAACAAATCACGAGAATTTCCGTTGCACAAAATCACTTTTAGTTCTTCAGTAGCGTGTTCTTTGTTTTGGTTTTCGTATGTAAGCTCCATTGTAACGAAATAGTAGGAATAGACGTCTTTACAGTTCAGCCATTTTGAGAAAATATGCATGCGTAATTGGGTACCCTAAGTGCGTACCATGTATAGTGATGTACCGCGACAAGCTGACTCGAGTACCGACTTAAATTTCTAATACTCATAAACTCGAGTAATAAATAACAGGAGTACATGGTATAATACAGGTTACGAATACTTACAGACTTGGAATATTATTCTTATATTAATGAAAAAAAATCTATTTTACTATGTTTTCCGTCATTATCTAAGGAAAAAATATTAACTTACTGAATATTTATTGTCTTTATAAAAATAAATTAAAGTAAAATTCAAAGAAAAACTTGGACTCACGAAAGAATTGAATTGAATACTTATAATACGGGACAAGTACTTAATTACTTATTTATATTTCCAGATTTGTCTCCGGTTAATTAAAAAAATATACCAATCCAAGTAAATATCTTAATCTCCTGACTAAATTTTATTTAGTAGTAATATAATGGACAACACTAATTCCTTGCCAAATTTAAAAAGTAAGTTACCTACCTATCTAATTAAATACCGTTGAGTGCTGCCAACATTACACATTAAACTATTTTGCCATGCAATAATTTAACAACAGTCGACATTTAATTATTGTCACACAAAGATTTGGGAATACGCATACCGTAGAACAAGGTAAATAGAAAAAAAATTATACATCATTTAAATTTATTTTAAATTAATCTATTATTGTAATAATATTCGATTATTCAGAATTAAATTTTTAGAAATAATATATAGTGTCAATTATAAATCAATTTAATTATTACAACTTACATTACATATTCAAAAGTCCAAATATATTATTTGTACCTTTCGAAATATTTACACTGCAAAGACAAAAATTTTGCACTTTCATGTTACAACTTTTGAAGTACGTTTTCACATAAATTGAAATATATTTAGCATTTGATAATTATTGCTTTAGAAGACAAAAAATTTTACTAAAATGTCATTTGACCTATGTAGGAATCACGGTAGATACAGAACAAAATAACTTAAACTTGTTCTAGATTTTTCTATTCATTCTACGACTTATATTAACCCTTAATATTAATAATTATTGTTTTGTTGAATTATATTTTTTAAAAAAGATTAAAATAAAATCGGTGGATAATTAAATTGAATTATTATTTTTCAATATAAATCACTGGGGTCGATTCTGAGGCGTCATTTCATTAATAAACATCATCATTATCATACCAGTCTTTAATTGTCTACTACTGAATATGGGCCATACCCATAAAGGCGGTTTTGCCAGTAATTGCCACGCTTGGCAGGCGGATTGACAACCGTAATTAAACTCTGGCGATGTCTTAAAAAAAACACTGCTATCATCCCTTGCCCCTTAAGTTCCTTTTTGAGGCGGTGGTCCAATTTACCCCGGGACCGCATAGTTCCTTAAACATGCAACTTTAAAACTAAAATGTAATTTTTTTGTCACAGCCCAATTCTAAGTACCAGTTTGAACTAAATATCCGATATACTTAAGTCAGAATTATTATTAACTTAGTTTATAATACGGATCATTATTAAAACAGAAATTTGCAAAACTACCAAATATTTCAAATATTAGATTAAGAAATAATTTTATGAAAATGGCGTTTAACAAGCAACTCAATTATTACTTAAAAAATTAAGTATTTTATCGTTAAATATTGACAACACTGGAATCGCTGTATTTACCAGTGTCATCGGTATACGAATCCGAATAATTTTTTATTCAAATAATTAGTAATAATGAATTTTATAATTCGATTATTACATTAGCAATATACTGGTATCCGTTTGCTAATTAGTAATTTGATTAAAACCACTAATGAAAAATATGTCTTTCTCCTCTATCCACTACTTTAAGATTAGGTGGAGATGAATAGACGTTAAAAAAAAAGAAGAACTAAAATGTAATTACTACATTACGAATATTACGAATTATTTTAGCGATTAGGAAAAGGAGTGTAATAAATGAATATATTGTGTGAATTACTAATCGGTTGAATAAAACTAGTAGTCATGACTTTGAGATATGCATATTCTAATAACTTAAGTGAATTGTTGAATCGATAATTATTAGTCGTATTAGTAAATACGTTATTGTTACTGTCAGTCGATTAATGTCAGTCGATTAATGTCAGTTATTTAATTCCAGTCAACAGTATAAAAATACATCAATTATAAAACTTTATAATTATTATCTACGTTTATTGAAAATTTTCATACCAAGTATTTTCATTTTTTTTCAGTGATTATTTACATACTTACCAGTAATTTAATTAATAAACCTAAATAGATAGTAGCATGTCAAAATAATTTTCTTTTTGTGACCACAGTATTTTAAATTTACATTACATTTACATTAAAGTATAGTATTGTAAGAAATCAAAGCAAATAACACTAAATACTTTATCGTTCGTCTCATTAAATCCACCTAATAAATTATACCTGCAATGTGTATTTCAAAACAGGTAAGTTTTTTATGCTTATGGTCATCTGCACTTTTATGGGTGTAGACTTGTATTGATATTCACTGCTAGGAAATTTAATCATCCATATTTGAGGATACTAAAAAGAAATAAATTATCAGCTATTACTATTTTTCTGTTATTTTATAATTAATATTAAATGTATGTTACTCATTCCAAAAAATATAAAATGTCTGGTTTTGTGTCAATCAAATATTAAACATTAATTTTGGAAGTATGTTTTTTATAACATTTCTTAATGTTTGAAGTTGTGTAATGTTTCGGGTATTATCTATGAATGCCTATGATACCATGGAACACAGCGCACAATGCCATTGTTCTTGATATCCTTTTTAAATCATTATTAAATAACAGATCTTGTAATGTAATGTAATGTAAATTGGACTCTCTTTTCCATGCTTAGCCTCTCATTTGGTCCATTGTGCATATGAAATAAATAATCTTAAAAAAAATATTATTATATTAAATATTAATATTTCATTGTAGAATATTTTAAAGAAGTCTCAGTAATAAGTTCATTTCATAAACTGAGCATTCATAGAATAAAATTTATAATATCACAACTACTTAGAATTCAAGGTATTGAAATGCATTCCCTATATAGTGAGTAGTGTTATAGTGGAGTATGGCAGTAAGGATGTCAAATATTTTTTCAAAATTCATTGTATTGTATAAACATGCTAAAACACATCTCAGTATCCAGATGTTTCCATTCGAGAATGATGTAGTACCATATGGGATTATATTTTTTAATTGTAAAGTGTAGAGATGCCTTGCCGTATTGAGTACATAATGTTTTCTGAATACTAGTGTATAACATTTTTAGGCTATAACGTTTTCAATGATTTGGAATTAGATGTTGCTCGAGATGTCGAGATAAAAAATTCAGTTACTTTTTGAGAGGATTTGTTCTGTAATTATTGATCTACATTATTTGATTTGCTGATCATATATCACCCAGAAGGTGATAAAAGTGCACTGATCATAAATTTTTCTAGAGTTGGATATGCTATTCAGATGGTGAGTTTTAAGTAATGTGAAGGTATGCAATAAGTACTAAGAAACAGCTACAATGCTCATATATATTAAAATATACATATGACATATGTGAGAAGATAATTATATGTAGTTGAATTCCTAATGTCCTATTGTCTATATTCTTGAAAAATAGAGATTTCATTATTAAATAATACTGTTCTCATTCTAATTTAAAATTATCAATGCAAAGTGATAATTGTTGACCTAAATTCAAATAATATCTTGGGTACCACGAAATATGCTAAAATGCCAATTCATGAGGGGTACTATGATGTCAGTGTTTGTCTTGGACCTCGTTACTAACAAACTCTTTACCCCCTAATCTTGATGGTTACCTACCACTTCTTTAACTGTACATACTCAAATGTAATTTCTGTTGTTTGCAGGTTACCATTTTCTAGTCATGGGGTCTGAACAATCTTCTGTTCCACCTAAAAAACAAACTCAGAGGGCGCCACCTGTGCGTCGTGGTCATACCATACATGTTACAAATGCGCCAGGTATCTTACTAATATAATAATATACGAGATATTTAAGAAAAATTGAAAAACAATAATTTTTAGACATTTTGTCTACCTGTCTGTACATTTATTCTAGCATTATGCAAAAACTACCACACCAAATTTGACGCAGTCTTCACTTTTGTGTTTTTGAAGGTCTAACTTAAAATCTGGTATATATTTTATTTTGATTTGTCATCTAGAAGTGGTTATTTCATTGGTTTCCTACTTCTGAAATTTATACCCACAAAGTAGTGGGCAAAAGTGGTTGTTCAGTAAGTTGGTTAGACAGATTATAATTTTTAAAGTATCTTAATAGATTGAATAAAATTTATCTTTCAGAAGCATGTAGAAGCACTGATCCAACAGCCAGTGGTAATAATTCACCTGGGGCAAGTGTTTGTTCCGACTCTGAATTACCATACATATCATACACAGTGGATAGACCAATTGGAGGTAAATAATGTTTTTGTATGACATGGAAAAGCAAATAAACAGATGATTTACGTAAAGAAAGGATTTTGTATATATTGAATGCACAGCAGACATAGATTTTTAGATACATAATACAAGACTACATTTCATATTAAAACTAATAGTCACTACTTGACTCCTTACCTTGGTGTTACAAAAGCTATTTATTGACATTAAAATTTCCTACTAAACTCTCTCGAAAGTACCATTGATAGTGTTATAGTTTTTCTTTTTATCAACTGTTTCAAACTTTTTCATGATACATTTTATGTGGATATTTTGCTTACAGTTCATTAAACCCACTGCATCTAATTTTGCTAAAATTGACATATACAAACAATTGCAGTATTTCTTTACTAATATAAACTTATGTCTGCGAAACTACATGGACTTTTAGAATACTGTAATTGTATCTCCTAATGTATGTTGTTCCTGACGACTAGGTGTGATTTCTTTTTATTTTTATTTTCACTATTACATAGCATTTAAATCGAAACAGTCCTATAAGCACAATTGCTTGATGGCAGAAATATGGTTGAGTTAAATGTACTGATACAGATTATGCATAGTAATTACACAAATCTGCATCTGGTAATTAATTGATTATATTGTCTTTGTTGTTTCAATTCCCTTTTACGCATAGCATGCATGAGTCGGCACTCATTTTGGCACTGATAAATAATAATAAGCCTTTATTAAAGAAATAACATAATAAACAATTCAATATAATTAATATTCAATCAGTAACTGTTCTGTCACCCCTCTCTTGTCCAAAGACAAATGCCTCCTCCAGTCTTTCATTCTATTCTGTTTTTGGCTATCCTTATCCAAAGTGCACCTGCTACTGCTTTTAAATCTGCAACCCATCATGTCCATGGTCTTCTATGTCTTCTTGGGCCTGTTCTAGGGTAACAGTCTGTTACAGTTGTTGTCCATTTTGGCACTGATAAAAAAAATATCTCTAATTTTCCTCTATGTTTATTTACCTTGATTCACTTAGCATATTTAATGAATGAAGGAAACCATTGTTTCCGTCAAAGAATGATATAGAGTATAAAGGTTACAATAAATTAAAATGTTACAATATGTACACAAAGGAAATGAATAATTAATTACATAAGAACAAGATAAAGAGGCAACAATGGGCACCTTATCGCTAAATAAGGATCTCTTCCAGGCAATCTTATATTTTTATGTTTATGTATTATGGATTGTTATAAATATATGTATATTTATATAATCTAGTCTTATTTTTATATAAATGATATTTAGTATGTATTTACTGTGACTTGCGCCATCTATTTTTCTCTTTGTACTTATGTACTATTTATGTCAGGATGCCTGTAAGAAATAGCTTTTAGCGAAGAGAACGCCTTTTGTATATGCACATTATGTATAATTACTCCTTGTATACATTTCTTATGTAAGCAATAAAGAGTTATTATAAATTCTCAATATTTATTTGTCATAAAATTACAGATTCACCAAAAACATCGGCTAAGACTCAAAAGTCGGGTGACAACAAAAAATCATTACTTCAAAGGAGACAGTTGAGCTTACAAAATCGTAAGAGCAAACGAGCACGGGATATTGTGGTTGTGAAGCATGCATCAGACACACTGTTGGATGAAGATATAAGGAGGTTACAGGTGTGTAAATGTTTTTGTATCGTGTACTATAAATAAAAATCCTTCTCATCCTTTTGCGGTCAAGTGTAGTATATACCAGAGGGAGACTTTGTACAAAATTCGTTTGCATGGGTACCTCTGTCCCAGTCGTGTTTCAATCGTGAAGCAGTTGTGTTTGCATGTCTGTGTTTCGGTTTGAAGGGTGGGATATAGCGTCAATTTACAGAGTACAGAGGAATAACAGTCGAGTCCTCAGGAATGGCAACGCATGGGGGGTATCATGGGCGAAACGGTATACTCTGTTACGTCCATGGTATTGCTCATGTCTATAGGCGACGGTTACCACTTTCCATCAGGTGGGCCATCAGCTTGTTTGCCATTCTAAGTTGTATAAAAAAAAGTACATATTTATACTTTTAAAATAGAGGAAAGATTTGATTGTTTGTTTGTAATGGTTAAATTCAAAAATTACTAGACGATTTTAACAATTAAAGTACCAATAATTTATGTTATTTTTTTTAATTACGGGTTCCTATGAAAATCACAATAATATAATCCAAAGTATCAAAAAATTGCCCATCAAAGCTTAATGCTATTAAAATACTAATTTATCTATCTACCCGTGTAAACTCGGGGCAGATCGCTAGTTAATACTATAAACGCTATATTTTTACTTAGTTCTGTTTTTACTAGGAAATACCAACATTCTTACCCATCATGAGAGGAACACTTGGATTACCTGGTGCGAGAGATCCTGAAGTGTTAGAAGGTAAAGAACATTGCATTTTTTTATAATAAATATATAATAAAAATATTAAATTACATAATTAATTGTACATATAAGACTTAGTATATTAAATATAATGACAACAACAATTTTTATTGGCTATTTATTTATTCTTTGGCGCTTAGATATGATTTTCGTTAATTTTTAGATTAAAATAAATACATATTATATAAAAAAAACCTTGATTCAGGTCTTGATTATCGACCGTGGGTGCGTCTAACTACAAGACTACAGGCCCACCTCGCGGCCTGCGCTCATCCATTAGCCGCCGAACAAATAAATTTAGCCACTAAAGTCAAGGAGGTAAGATTGATTTTTAGTTCTAATTATAGTGTAGTACTTTATTTATATTTAAAATATATCAATTTATATAGAAGTATAAGAATTAAGTGTATTACTGGCGGTTTTTTTATTGATGGGTGAAAATGGAATGGTAACCCCGCCTGCGCTAACGCGATACGCTGGCGGAGCGCCAGTGAAGGGTGATAGATGAGAATGAAAATAGGCCAGTTAGCCTATTATGATGAATTCAGCAGGAATTAACCATGATAGTTTCCAAGGAGAACCGCGAGGAGGTCGACCTGGTTGGGTATATTGCTAGCAATGGGATTCTCAGTCTCCATTACTAACAATCCCTTTCCTCCCTATTACTGGCGGTTCCTCTGTCCCATTCGTGTTTCAACCGTGAAGCAGTTGTGTTTGCATGGCTGTGTTTCGGTTTGAAGGGTGGGATATGGCGTGAATTTACTGGGTACAGAGGAATAACACCTGAATCCTCAGGAATGGCAACGCATGGGGGGTAACATGGGCGAAACAGTATACTCTGTTATGTCCATGGTACTGCTCATGTCTATAGGCGACAGTTACCACTTTCCATCAGGTGGGCCGTCAGCTTGTTTGCCATTCTAAGTTGTATAAAAAAAAAAAAAAAATCGCCACTCACTTTGGTTATTTTGGAATGGGTTTAGTTTCAGTGTGAAAATAAATTTTACAGATTTTAATGCTCCCGCAGCTCCTCTACCACCTTATGGACATACCAACTTATACCACATACATCACAGAATATACCGTTTACCATACCTGTACTAATCTCTAGTTTACTATACCTCTTATGCATTATTGTATTTAAAAGTTAACCAAAATTAAAATTGTATTCCACACCAAAAAATTGACTTCAGTTGTGGCAAAATCAGTTATTTTAATTTAAAAACTAAACTGTTAAACTGATTTTGATATAATTTCTATGGGACGAATCTGAAAGTATGTCCTTTCTTATAAAACAAAAACTCATGATTGGTTTCCAACTGTCAGAGTTATGAGGTTACAAATAAAAAAAATACAACCGAATTGAGAACTTCCTTTCTTTTTGAAGATCATTTATAATTAATACTTTTCTAAAATATTAGTTTCTTTTGTCATATATTTTTTTAATTAAATATTTGAAAAGAAAGAGACTAAATACTTCAATATAGTTACAAGTATAGTATACGTAAAATGGCTTACATTTATTTTATAAATATTAAAAAATTAAAAAGAAAGAGTATAAATTCTTCATTGTGATCCCAAGTACGAGTGTGGTATGCATAGCAATAAGTGCTGCTTTAATTAATTTATTTTATGGAATGGAGACTTTTTCACCTCTGTTCGTGTTTTTACCAAGAACAGTAACGCGTGCTATATTCTGTTGTTTTAGACGATGGTTACCACTTTCAGTCAGGTGGGCCATCAACTTGTTTGCTATTCCCTATTACGTAAAAATATTAGTTTGTATGCTTTACAGTCGGATACAGAAATATCTCGTTTGTATTCACAAATGGTTGAGAAGCAACGCGCGAACGCACGCCACGCGGAGCGCCTGTCGAGGGTACACGAGGTCGGCAACCAGCTGTCGCGGTGCAACTCTTTGCTCAATCAGGTCAGTAGACGCTATTCGCCAAATACGTATCATTCATATACATTATTTATGTATGCACTTACATTAAAAAGTATGAGTAGTAGGGTAAAAGAGAAAAAAGTAATAATATATTAGAGCAGGTGGGACAAAATAGTACATTACTGCAGCGGCCAGCAACTGAGGTATTGATGGACGAACGTACAAATGTGGGCCGAGGTGTAACCGAGGCACATATGCGTGAGTCCATCAATGCCTAGTTGTGGCCAAGGCTTGTATAGTACTTTTCTCAAACAATGCGCAGAAATCAAAAACACAATATTAGTTTTTAAATTCAATGACGAATAACGAACAATAATAATTTTTCACGCGCCATAATGTTCCCTTGTTTTTTTTTCAATAAACAGCTTTCTATTTGCAAGCCTGTTCGAAATTTAAATAAAAACTTGTATTAGTTACTTCCTTGGTAGCCATGTTTCGAAGTAAAAGTTATTTAACTACAAAATATAAGATGAAAAAAGACATGGTAGGAGTCTGAATAAAATATTTTTTTATTATTTTCACGTTTTGATCTGTATAATTAGTTTTAAGTGAATTTAATTGATTAGAATTAAGTGAACCGCTAAATTTCACATATTTCATGTAATTACGCTTTAAGTATTTGTCTCATTAAATATCATATATATTAAATAACAAAAACAACAAGTTGATAGAAACATTGAAATTGTTTCAGACATTGCAAGATATAGAAGAGCTGAATAGTCTGTTACCACAAGACAAACGTCTCCAGCCATTTATATGGAATGACGAACGTTGAAATGACTTCATCATAGATGATGAGGTTATTGAACATCAACGGCTTACGGCTACTGTCGACTAGCTTTTGTCCGTGGCTTTGCTTTAAAAAACTTGTACTGTCATGTAACTATTATATTTATGTTTACCTTATATTAATACAACACGTTACTTTATTCTTGCCTATTTATTACTGTAGTATTTTTTTTTAATTATAATCAAGTATTATCTATTCTAAGGTGTCATTTCTCTAAACTTATATCTTAACCTAATATTTTTACTCGTAAATTTCTCGAATATACTCTTTTATGGACCATTATATACTAAAATTATATTTTTTTTGGCTTAAATCTATTAGAAATTTAATTTAAATTGGACCTTAGAGTTTTTGCTGTAGTATCAAATGGAAATTTTAATTTTAGAGATAAGGTTAGAAAAATAGAGTCCCAGAATCGAGCTCACTGTTTAAATAACATTAGTAACAAATGGAAAAATTCAATAACTTAATTTGTTATTGATTAGTACCATTATGGGACATTAGCAAACTGTCATTAAGTTCTGTTAAAACTGGTTGTAAATACCAAGTAGCACATAAAATTTGTGCGACTCGGATGCCCTATATGGATAGATACATAGATTAAATATAGATATATGAAGAGTATCTATTTTTTTTATACCACAGGTGGCAAACAAGCATACGGCCCACCTAATGGTAAATGGTTACCGGAGCCTATGAACACCTGCAATATCAGAGGTATTACACGTGCGTGGCTGACCTTGAAAAAACCTCTTTACCTCCCTTTTAGAGAACCCCATGCTGTAGTTTCTTGGGAAAACCTCGGCAGGGAGCTCATTCCACAACCTGAGTGTTCGTGGGAGGAAACATCTCTGAAACCGCGCAGTACGCAACCATTGAGGCTGTAGGATATGAGTATGAACTCCCTGTCGATGGCGAGCCGTACGATGGTAGAAAGTGACTGTTTATTGTTTCCTTCATAAGATTACAATAGTAAACTTATTGTAGATACAAACAATTACAAGAAATGATCGCACTAAGAAAATGGGCGGCCTTATCGCTAAAAGCTCTTCCAGGCAACCTTTACAATGAGAGGAGTAGTTATAAACAGTTTGATTTGAGGTACAAAACTCTGTTCTTTTTTAAATACATATAGAGATATTCATAAGTACAATAATGTGAATAAATAAACATATATTTTAAGTTACTAATACATACTTAAATAAATCCATATAAATATATATATATATATATATATATATATATATATATATATATATATATATATATATATATATATATATATATATATATATATATATATATATATATATATATACATATATACAAATACATAAATATACTATATACATACATATGTAATTACAAAAAGAAAGAGAATTTAAGTATGCTAAACAGACACAAATTACGAATATGACAACTTGCTTAGATAGAAATCCTTAATTTTTATTTTAAAATTTAGTAGGTACTGTATAGTTTGAACAGAAGTTGGTAGGCTATTTCATAATCGAACAGCTTGCACAGTAAACGATTTCTCATAGAAACTTCTGAAATGTACTGGTGTTTAAATCATAAATGTGGTATAACCAAGTATAATATACTCACCTACAGATAGATGGATTTGCAATATAAAGTCAAATAGGATAGAACCGTAGATACTGATTTCTATATATATGATTGGGGTATAATAAAGGCCGACAACGCATATACAACTCCTTTCCTGTTGCAAGTGTTCATGGGCGACGATAGCTGCTTTCCACCAGGTGGACCGTATGCTCGTTTGCCTCATTAACAATAAAAAAAAATTACCTGTTCTTAATGTAGATAAATACATAATATTTACTATTCATGTTTTTTTTTATACAACTTAGAATGGCAAACAAGCTGACGGTCCACCTGATGGTAAGTGGTAACCGTCGCCTATAGACATGAGCAGTACCATGGACATAACAGTGTATACTGTTTCGCCCATGATATCCCCCTATGCGTTGCCATTCCTGAGGACTCAGATGTTATTTCTTTGTACCCTGTAAATTCACGTCATATCCCACCCTTCAAACCGAAACACAGCCATACAAACACAACTGCTTCACGATAGAAACACGAATGGGACAGAGGTACCCAAGCAATCGACTTTTGTACAAAGTGTCCCTCTGGCGAAATGTCATGTAAATTAATTTATTTGGTTCGCATTTTATTTTAAAAACTAAACTGCTGAACCGATTTTGATAAAATTTTTTTTGGACCAATCTCAAAGTATATCGTTTCATATAAAAAAAAAAGAATTTTTGAGAAGAATTTTGCATATCCGACTTGTAGTTCCGAATTCAAACGCATTACACGCATTGTACAAATGTATCTATACTAATGTAAAATATACATGTACGCCATTTGTACTAAAAACTCTTAATTTCCATTTTCAAACAAAAAATATTGTTTTGCTTACTTTTCTGTATGTACCTACGTATAATTTTTGAGTTGCAAAATTGTACTTTCGCAGAAAACTTTCAAAATTCATACTGCCCTTGACTCCACTTGAGAAATAACACAGATGTTTCTCAATTTACCAATTACCATATATATACATGAACATTAAAGAGCGTCGCGGTCTCGTGGGTTACTTCCCTGACAAGGGTAAAGGGAATGTTTTTTTTTTTTAATGGAAGGTAATGGTAACCCCGCTTTCGCTAACGGTATATGCTGACGCGGCACCAATATTGAATAATAGGTGAGATTGAAAAAGCAGGTCAGTTAGCCCATCGTGATGAACACAGAATTCAACACAATAGTTTCCAGGGGGACCACGTGAAGGTCGAGCTGACAGGGTATATTGCTAGCAATAAGACTGGTAGTTCCCATTACTAACAATCCCATAATTCTCGAAAGGGATTGCTAGTAATGGGGTCTAATAACATCATTACTAGTAATATACTCTATCAGGTCAGGGAAAAGGGATTATAAGTAATGGAGTCTAATAACCACATTGTTAGCAATATTTATGATATCCACGCAGTTCCCCCAGAAAACATCGTGTCTCATTCATGTGGAAACCATCACGATGGGCCAACTGTCCTGCTTTCTTCCTCACCTAATATCTCTCAATTGCGCCCCGTCTGCGTATGCCGATAGCGCAGTTGGCGTTACCATTCCAATTTCATCCATTAAAAGAAACCTTATCACGTCGCGCTCGTTGCAAATCCCCCTGAAAAACTACAGGTTAATTCCTGACGAATTATTTACGATGAATTAATAGAACTGACTAAATCCTCACTGTCATCATTTACCATCTAAATATTTTTTTATTCAAGTAAATTTAATTAAAAGCATTTTTAACAGTATTTTTAGCGAATTTTACTTCTTCTGTTGATATTTCGCTAGCGTATATAAATAGCGGAGGCGGGTACAGACAGTATTATCTGTGGCCTAGTATAGTATTATAATTATTATACATACCTATTATCTGCGCCCACGTTGCAGGTACAGTTTGTCCTTCGAATCAGTTACTTTCGCTGTATCATTATACCTTATTCTACAATTTGTACGAAATATTACTTCTTGTAACTATAGACTAGGGGTTTCTTGTAACTATAGCCTGATTTCATATTTAGTAAAGAGCAAGCAAGTTATTTAGTGGAATTTCTTGTTATTCGAATATTCATCTATTTAACACAAAGGCATCGAGCAGAGAAAATTTGTGAATATATAATTCTTTGAAGATAAATCTATACTATATTAGATTCCCATCCCTCACCCATTAAGTTCTTTTAGTCGCCTCATACTACATCCATGAGAAAAGAATAAAAGGTGTGACCCATGCTATGCCGTGGCACTCACGTTTAATATTGCCGCTGGTGTTGTGGGTGATCATGGGCGGCGGTAGTCATTTATCATCAGGTGAGCCACATGCTCGTTTGCCCCCTGTGTTGTAAAAAAAAAATATTTCTCTTCACGTCTCCGCCTCTATCATTTAGGTTCAATAAAAATATACTCTTAATAATAAAAACGTCAAACCTCATAAGCTTAATTTAGCTATTGAATTGTTTTTTCTCATTATTTTACTTTAAGTTCTCAGTTTGGATGAAAGTGACAAAACAGTGTAATAGTTGAAAATAGGTTTGTAGGAGGTTTTACTTTTTATGAACAAGAGGGTTTATGAATAATAGTAGGTAAATACTAAGTATACATTGTCGCGGCTTCTATTTATACAACATTGGAAATTATTGTTTGATGTTGCAAAAGAGGGTAGAAGTGTTGTGTGTGAATGAAATGTGCGTGACAGTAATGCTGAAAGAAAACAAGTGTTAATCCTTACTAATATTATAACTTTTTTTTATGCAACTCAAAATGGCAAACAAGCTGACAGCCCCACTTTATGGAAAGTAGTAACCGTCCCTATACCATGGACATAACAGAGTATATTGTTTTGCCCATGATACCCCTATGCGCTGCCATTCCTGAGGACTCAGATATTATTCCTCTCTACCCTGTATGTTCACTGCCATATTTCACCTTTCAAACGGAAATACAGTCATGTAAATGCAACAGCTGCAAACGACTTTTTTTACGAAGTCTTCCTCTGGGAAAAGCAAGTTTGTTTGTTACCTCTTAGCGTTGAAAAGCTAAACCAAGATGCATGAAATTTAATATATGTGTATTATTTAAAATGGATGTATAGGCTACTTTCTGTCCCGTTTAATCAACATATCCCGATTACGCGGTAAAATTAACAATCTCGATTGAAAATCTAACCGAAATCTAAATATATACAAACATACTGTTTCATAGTACGCATCTTTTAAAAAAGTTACCAAATAGGCGTTTTATGGTAATGGGCATTAAATTTTATATTAAGACACCCAAGGCTATTTTGGACTTAAATTTTAATAAATTTAAAACTTGAGTAAATCTTATTACACACTAAACGATCAGGTGTAATAAGTATTTAGAGGACGATCGTGATTCTACAGTTTATTATGCACATGATATTTTTATTTATGACTAGCTTTTTGCACGTTACTTCGCATGCGTGGATTTCAAAAATAGAACGAATGAAATACATCATTTCTAGATAGCATATCAAAATGAATTATACACTAAATTTTAAGTTAGTCTTTCAAGAACACAACTGTGAAAACCTCA